CCGGTTCGATTCCGGCTGTCCGGACGCTTCTTTTTTTGTTTTTTCTATCTAGCCTACCTCACCGCACCTTAGAGGTGACCGCAAACACAGTACGCTGAAGGAGTCGGCTTCGAACATGCAAATGCTGGTATTGGTGAGTGTACAAATACAGATGGAATGAGAACGAAATCAGGCGCTGGGGTTGTCCTTGCGTGCGGCCTTGGCAGCGCGCTTATCTGCCTTTTGTTTGGCGAGCTTCTTTTCGTAGTTGCGCTGCTGGCGCTCGCCGAATTTTGCGTCGTGCATGGCCATGGTGGCTACGCGTTTTGCTGTTGCGACGGTGTTGAGCTTCTCGAGGATCTTGTCCTCGTCTTCGATGCCCTCGAGTTCGGTGAGCTTGGTGTTGATCTTGGCCTCGATCGAGTGCACCACGTCGATGTCGCGCTCGGTGATAAATGAGATGGCAAAGCCGCGCTTGCCGTTTCTCGCCGTACGACCAACACGGTGCACGTAGTCCTGCCAGGCCGAGGGCAGGTCCCAGTTGACGACCATCTCGACGTCGGGAATGTCGAGACCGCGCGAGCCTACGTCGGTGGCGATGAGCACGGGCACGTGCTGCGCACGGAAGGCCTGCAGGTTGTCGCTGCGTTCCGACTGGCGCAGATGCGAGTGCAGCGACACATTGGGGATGCCCAACTCGCTCAGCATGCCCGATAGCGTGGCGGCGGTCTTGCAGCGCGCGGTGAAGATGATGGTGGCCGGGAGAAAGAGTCCTGCGCCTTCGTCGTCGCTGTCTTCCGAGTCCGAGCCGTGATGGGCGCGCGGACGCTTGCCCTTCTTGCGGTCGTTCTCGGCGCGTCGTTCGCGCTCGGCCTCGCGCTTCGCCTTGAGCTTGCGCACGCGCTCCGAGGACGGCTTGATGGGCGGATGGCGCATGATGTGGTACAGGTACGGCTCGCGGATGTGCGACGGCACGAAGACATACCGCTGCTCGAGCGTCTCGGGTGTCTTGGTGTCCATCTCGATCTTGCAGACCATCGGCGCCAGCTTCCCCTCGGGCCGTTTGCTTTTGGCGAACTCCTCCACCTCGGGCGTGAGCGTTGCGGTGAAGAGCAACGTCTGCAGCGTCTTTGGCGACGGCAGCACCGAGTAGAGGTAGTCGAGCTCGGGCTTGAACGTGTCTGTGAGCAGTCGGTCTGCTTCGTCGAGCACGAGGAATCTGCAGCGTCGGAGTCCCCACTCCTCGCCACCTCCGCTGCGCAGATGGTCGACGAGACGACCGGGCGTGGCGACGATGACATGCGGTCGCATGCTGGCGAGCTCGGATGCTTGCTTCATCATGTCCATGCCACCGAGCACGAGCGCGCAGCGAAGACCCATGCGTGCGCCCTCGCCGACCGCAACAAATTGCTCGTGCAGCTGAACGCCGAGCTCTCGTGTGGGTGTGAGGATGACAGCGAAGCCGCCGACCATGTCCTTGATGAGTCGGTTGAGGATGGGCAGCGCAAAGCAAAGAGTCTTGCCGGAACCGGTCTGAGCGCCACCGACGAGGTCGCGTCCCTCGAGTACTGATGGGATGGTGAGGCTCTGAATCGGGGTGGGCACTTTGATCTGCAGCGATGCGAGACTGCGGATGAGCATGGGCGAGATGCCAATGGACGAGAAGGAGGTATGCTTGGGTGGTTCTGATGCGCTCTTGGCGATCTCCTCTACGGCCGAAGCGGATGCCTTGGAGGATGCCATGGTGGATGAGGTTGCGCTGGACGATGCGCCTGTCGCTGCTGGCGGCATGATGTTCGTGTGTGAGTGTAAGAAGTCGAAGGCAGGGTCAGGGTTTGCCTTTCGCTTTCGCTTGCCACGCGCGAGAGTCTTTCTTGCCGAAAAAAATCTCGAAAGGTAGCTGCAGCCTCGGATGTCGGAAGTCGCGCGTTCCTCCACTCGAAGTTCCATCCTGCGCAAGGCTTCTCCCCGAGGCTCTCAACCGGCGCTCACACGAACCATGCCAAGCTGCCCATGATTTTGAGCCTGCTCTCCGCCTCCTTCGTAGTATGCGCGGGTGCAGTGGGGCTGGTGTGCCTGGCACTGGGCCTGCACTCGCTCTCGCACTACATCGAGACGCACGCCGTCCGCGCTCGCGTGCTAGGTCTCCGCGCGCTCGTCTTTACGGCGATCGTACAGGTGCTTGTTGTCGTAGTCGATGATGTGCCGCTAAGCCCGCTGCTGCCGAGCCTAGCTGCGGTCTTGCTGCACTACCGCGCAATCTCGCGTTCCGAATGGCCTTTCGCAGCCACGAGCAGCGCCGGCTCGCGATCGGGAGCACTGGAGGCACTCGTATCCCTGCTCCTCCTTCCTCTGACGTCGCACGTCTGGCTAATGCGCAGCCATGCACTCAGCTTGCACGCGTGGCACAAGCACCGGTACGACACGCTGCACCGGCCCAAGCTGCCTGGTGGAAGGCTGGACTGGGACGTGGACAGCATCGAGCCGCCTGGCACGCGAGACATGACGCAGCTGCAGGTGTGTGCGCTGCTCGTCGTGTGCGTCTGGTCGATTCCAGTGTATCGGTTGGTGGGCAGGATTGCCGCTGCCGAATGGGGCGGGGCCGGCGGCGGCCTGACTGGCGGCGCTCCAGTGCGGCCATCGAGGTGATGGAGGGGCCCGATGCTTTGCCCAGTGTCGGCAATCGGGCATGGCAACCGAGGGTAGTTCTCGTGCTGCCTCTGCTTCGTCCGTATTTTTGGACCTTAATTTGTTGCCCACAATTTTATGCTGTCTTTTTTGTTTCTTTCGATACCGTAAGCGCGATGGCAGGTCGTTCGGACGTTTCGGCTGCGTCTGAGCTTAACCCCGCAGCCAACCTCGCCACAAAAGCCGCAAACCTGCGGAAATAAACGTCGTCTTCGAGAAGTTACAGCGGCCTAACACCCCGAAGCCGACACCACCCAAGCCACTTCCTACGGATCACTTGCGTCTAGATCGGCGCCGCTATGCTACCAGCATGGCTTGCTGTGTCATATGTGCTGGTTATATTGCGCTCGAGAGGCAGACAGGACGTCAGTGGCCAGGAATGCAAAGGCGGTGTCGAGATGCGTCGGTGCGGAGACAAGAGCGGGGATCGGTCGTGGGCTGCGAAAGCTCCGATGCAAGATGCTGCCAAATCGGGGCGGATGGCCGACGCCAGAAGCGCGCCAGGCGCGGGTGCGGCGAAATTGGCTAATTTGCGCGGCTCTGGGCGGCGTCCGGCTCAAAGTACATCGGTGGACCGGCAAAGCGTGGCCGCCACGCTCGTTTGGCCGAAACCAAATAGCCTGCTGATGCTGCACGGCGAGGTAGGACTGCAGCCAGACTGACTGTTCGCCACACCACACTTCCAGTCTGCCCACGGATTCAACCCCGGCTCCCCGCACAGCTTGCGACTGCCTGCCTGCCAACACTCGCTCGAGCTGCTGCACATCCGATATATTCTCAACTCTCATCTTCTCATCCCAACCATCGTCCCTTTCAAATAACCCTCATTTCCCTCCCACCCAACACACAACGATGCTTCGCAACGCTCTCCCTGCTCTGCGCCGCGCTGCAGCCACCGGCTCGCACGCCCCGGCTGTAGCCACCGCCGCCTCGTCCTCGTCGTCCTCGTCGCTCCCATCGTCGTCGCGCACCTACGGAACCACGCCCGATACGGCGCCCGAGCAGTACAAGATGACCAAGTTCAGCAAGTTCAACTGGGAAGATCCCATGGCCATGTTCGAGTCCCAGCTCTCTGAGGACGAGAAGGCCATCGCCCAGACCGCACACGATTTCTGCCAGGAGACGCTCAAGCCCAAGGTCACCGAGATGTACCGCAACGAGTCGTGGGACCCCACCATCCTCCCCTCGCTCGGCGAGCTCGGCTTGCTCGGCGCAACCATCGACGGCTACGGCTGTGCAGGCGTCAACAGCGTCTCCTACGGCCTCATCGCCAGGGAGGTCGAGCGCGTCGACTCGGGCTACCGCTCCATCATGTCCGTCCAGAGCTCGCTCGTCATGGGCCCCATCAACCAGTTCGGAACCGAGGCGCAGAAGGAGAAGTATCTGCCGCGCCTCGCCAAGGGTGAGCTCGTCGGCTGCTTCGGTCTCACCGAGCCCAACCACGGCTCCGACCCCAGCTCCATGGAGACCACCGCCACCGACACCGGCGACGGCCACATCATCCTCAACGGCAGCAAGACCTGGATCTCCAACTCGCCCCACGCAGACGTCTTTGTCATCTGGGCAAAGTGCAAGTGGGACAACAAGATCCGCGGCTTCATCGTCGAAAAGGGCACCAAGGGCCTCTCGGCGCCCGCCATCAAGAACAAGCTCCAGCTGCGTGCCTCGGTCACCGGCTCCATCTTCATGGAGGATGTCAAGGTGAAGCGCGACGAGTCGCTGCTCCCGCACGCGCGTCCCGGTCTCGGCTCGCCGTTCGAGTGCCTCAACTCGGCGCGCTACGGCATCTCGTGGGGCGCCATGGGCGCCCTCGAGGCCTGCATCGAAGAGGCCCGCCAGTACGCCCTCGACCGTTCGCAATTCGGCCGCCCCATCGCCGGCTTCCAGCTCATCCAGCAGAAGCTCGCCGACGCCTCGACCGAAGCTGCGCTCGGCCTTCTGTGCAGTCTGCAGCTGGGTCGCATGAAGGACCAGGGCGCCTGGAGCCCCGAGATGGTCTCGCTCGCCAAGAGGAACAACTGCGGCAAGGCGCTGCAGCACTCGAGGAGCCTGCTCGACATCTTTGGCGGCAACGCCACCTCGGACGAGTACCACTGCGGTCGCCACGTCCAGAACCTGCAGACCGTCAACACCTACGAGGGCTCCCACATCATCCACACCCTCATCCTCGGCAAGGGCATCACCGGTCTCCAGGCCTTTGCCAACTAGATGCACTTGGAAACAAAATATGTACAATAAGCACGAGAACAGTGTGGTACAAACACCCATCGCGGAAACAGAACACAAGAATGGCGCGATCAGTCGACCCTGGGGTTGCCCCTGTAGTAGTAGGCGTTGAGGAGGGTGAGTGTAAGGCTTGGGATGCTGCCGATCGAGTTGAGGATGGTGAGTGCGAACACGAGGTCTTCGGTTGGGGCGGTTCTAGCCTTTTTGATCCACGCCCATCTGTGCGGTGCGAGTGTGGAGGTGGCCTCGTCGACACTGTTGGAGTCCAGGCTGCTTTTCCAGGAAAAGTCGCGCAAGAGACGATCGGATGAATCGGATGTGGGAGACTCGACGGGCGTCAGGACGGGAAAGCCTGGTAGCGAAGCGAGGCGTTGACGAACCAGGCTGTTGGAAGGCGATAGATGGCGCGAGGCGGGCGAGAGGAGACGGGCGTGCTCTTCAAGCGTGCCTAGGTGGGGCCGGTGAAGACGCGTCAGTTCGGTGAGGCTGCTGGATGAAGAGGACGACGGGCGCGAGAGGAAGGGTGGCACATGCTCGAGGCTGGTCGAGGTGTCCTTGACCATCTCGCCCAGAGTCACCGTGTTGGACGACAGCCCACGCCGCGTCAAGCCCCCCGTTTTACCGGACGAAGCTCCTTCTTGCTTGCCCACATCCTCTGTCGTTGATGAGGTTACGTTTGGCGACGCGCTTGTAGCGTCGCTAGCGATTTGAAAGCACGGCGCCTGAACTTTGCTCGGTGTGCGGTTCTCTACCTCGTCCTGCGTACGGTACGTCTCGAAGGTACACAGCGTATCGCCGACCTTGGGCAGTGGCTTGTCCTTCGACTCGGCAGCTTTACGCTTGGCATCGAGGAACTTTTTGCGATTGTCGCTAAACGACTTGGCTGCAACGTAGTTCCATCCGACCGTTTGCATCAGCCCTGCTACGCCGATGGTCAGAATGACCGGTCGCTTCCAGTCGCTCTTCTCGATCGCTTGCTCCTTGTTGCCCGTTTCGCGGATGGCGGAGAGCACCTTCTCGGCTGACTCGAGCGTCGAACTCGTCGCACCGGGCATGCGCTTGGTTGGCCGAAGTCGGGGCGCACGCACAGATGGCGCAGGCAGTGGTGCCGCCTGTGCAGATACGCCCAGCAGTATGAGCGCAAAGAGACTTAGCAGTGCGATCTTCATGACCGAATTCCTACGTTTCGCGTGACAAGGGATGCGCACAGAAGGGGGCCGTCAATCAATTGAGCAGCTTGCCTTTAAAGCCTGGGCACCAGGCGGGCGGATGTTCGATGCCTGGTGGGCTTGGAGCTCGGAGCATTGCCAGACGCTGCGACAAGCGCGGGAGCATTGTTCACCCATGGCGCCTCGGGGCCAAGGCCGCCAGATCCGCGTTCCGCGTGCAACATGAACCCCCTCGGCATTGGCTCGGAATGTTTTCGCCACCCCAACAATAGGTTGTGCATGCGCCGCAACGCAGATCTTAATCTGATAGACACAAGCCAGCGGTGGTGGCGGAAGCACATCCATCTCACGCCTGATGCGCCATGAAAAAGAAAAGCGTCCGAGATGAAGTGCTCCCACCCACCTCCTGGCCGCCAATATGCCCGACCACGCAGCGTTGTACCAATGCGAAGCACAAATGACGGAGGTCGTGCAAAGAATGATTGCAGATGCAGGGTGACTGGGTGATACAAGTACAATGGCGACGAGATGGTGCAAGACGGTGGCAGGATGAGGTGGAAATCGCCGGCGCAATTAGTCGGACCAGTGCACCTGGTTTCTCGCCCACCGATCGGCGACGAGCCTGCGCTTGTGGAACAGCAGCCTCTGCTGCTTGTACCTCCTCACGAACGCCGCATCGTCGAGCACACCCTCCGGAGCGGTGCCCGAATCGTCGGTCGGATACGGTAGGCCCTCGACAAAGGCATTGGCGAGCTCCTCGGAGCGGTCGTTGAGCTTGCTCGCCGACTGCGTGAGGTTGAAGTGGAGCGCCGACGGGTTGAATCGCTTGTGCGCCTCGGCGAGCTGTGCCTCGCGCTGCGTCCACTCGGACTCGAGCTTCTTGGCGCGCTCGAACAGCTCGAGCGTCTCGTTGCGCAGCTCGTGCAGCGGCGCCTGGCGTTCGAGGTTGCGCTGCGCCTTGGCCTCGTTGGCGCGCAGAAGGTCGGCGTGTGCACGGTACAGCGCTTGTGTCTGAGGCAGACTGTGGAAGAACGCCTCGAAGTACGCCTGGTCTGGCGAGATGGCGTCGGCGTTGGTTTGGGAAGACGAGGCTGGCGGGGGGTGGAAGTCATCGGCAGCAAGTGCCTGGAGGTCTTCTCGCGAGAGCAGCGCGGATGGAGGGAAGGTGGTGGTCAGCCGCGTCTGGAGCGACGATGATGCCGGCGAGTCGGTCATGGCGCTGCTATCCAGGCGGCCCAGTAGGCTGCAGCGAAAGGGATGGCAAAGGATGATGTCGCGATGGTGGGGATGAGGCAGCCCAGAGACTGACCGTGCGCGATGCGTCTCGAAAGGCGGTGTGGAGGGGAACACGAATTCGTTCAGAGATGTCAGATCTGCAAATCCAACAAATTGGCTCCGGCGCGCTGTGAGGGGCTCCAAACCCGGATCGGCAAACAACCGGCTACGGCGGCGCAGTTTTGGTGGCGGGAATTGAAAGTCGGACGGAGCAGTGAATGGGCACTCACCGACAGCCGGCTCCTCGCACGGTTACCCCACCAACCACCTCCGCCTGCCCGCCTCCTCACACCCACAAGTGCTTCGTCTCTCCTGCTCTCCAGCTAGAACAGCTTCCCGCACGGCGACCGTCGCCCCACCATTCCAGCACGCAGCCAGGCCCCCGCACCTTGGACAGAGGCACTACAACCTGGACCGTTTGCGCGCCACATTGCGTGCTCGCTGTTGGCCATGACGGTCAAGGCGGCGCTGTACAACATCATCTTTGGCGCGGACAAGTCCAACACGCCGTCGAGCTCCGCATCGAACTCACCCTTGGCACAGGTGCCGCGCCAAGTGCTCGCCAATCTCACGGCGCATTCGGTGCACGCGCTGCAGAACCTGTGCGACCACCGCGCCAAGCCCGGCTCGGAGCCGTGTCCCGCAGCGATACCCGCGTACCGACGGGCGGCGGTGCTTCTTGCGCTGTTTGCAGGCCGCAACGGGGAGCTGTATGTCATCCTGTCCAAGCGCTCTGCAAGGCTGAGATCGCATGGTGGCGATACCGCGATTCCGGGCGGACGGTTCGAGCCCACGGATCGAGATCTCGAGTTTACCGCCCGCAGAGAGGCGTTCGAGGAGACGGGGCTGCCCATCGATCCGACCAAAGCGGTCAAGCTCTGCGAGCTTCCGCCGTTTTTGTCGGCCAACGAGCTGGTGGTGACGCCGTTTGTCATGCTGCTGACCGACCACTCGATCCAGCCGCATCTCAACCCGCAAGAGGTGGATAGCCTCTTTTCGCTACCGCTCGTTTCGTTCTTGTATCACAACCCGCCACGCCCGCTGCGACAGTCGTTGCATCTGCCACCGAGTCCCGAGCCAGAGGCACTCCGATACATGCCTGAAAACGAGGTGTCGCCCATCTCGGACTGGCATACTTGCCGCGACATCCTGTGGCTCGACAACAACCGCGTGCGCAGACACACGTTCTGGGACGAACGCAATCCCATCCGTGGCCTCACTTCCGACATTCTCATCCTTGCAGCGGCCATTGCGTACGGGGAAAAACCGCTGTTCTCACTCACCAGCCCCGGCCAGCCAACGCAGGCCCAGCTGATCACGCTCGCATTCAACAGCCCTCTGGCTGTCAAGAAGTTCAGGGTCAAACCGCGTATGCAGTTCCTCAAGACGCCCGATCCACAGCGCACCAACGATGAGCTCCAACAGCCGCACGACGAAAGACCCGACTTCCCTCTCGCGCCTCCGCTCGATCCCAGTCCCAACCCAAACGGCATAGACACAGCTCGCATCACCAAGCCCAAACTCTAGCTTTCGCCCGGCTTTGCTTTCATTACGTTGTATTTGTACAGACTTCGATCATGGGAATATCTGATTCAGTCCTCCTTCTTTTCTGGCGTCTAGCGACTGCGCCCGAGGTCGGCGTGTACCAGGTCGAGCTGAAGCGCATCGACGAGTTGGACGCAGTCGTGTGCGTGCGTGCGCACAATCATGTCGGTATCGTTGGCAGCCGCGTATGCCGCCACCTCGCGCAGACGTGTCGCCAGCCCGACCGGAAATAGCAGATCCCTCGCACCCAGCCTGGCCTTGTGCGCGCTGTCCGCTTGCGGTTCGTCGCGGTCGACTGACGGCAAACTTCCACCGCCAGGTAGCCGCAGCGCTGAAAGTCTTTCCACCAGCTGCGCAGGGCCATCAGCCTCGTTGGCCGTCTCGAGCTGGATGCTCGTTCCGCGCACGAGCAGCGTGAGCAGCAGCATCGCAGCTCGCCTCAAGTGAGCCACCTTGGCATCCACCACCGTGGCACTATCCAGCTTCCGCTGCTCCGCCTCGTGCTGTTCAGCGCGGACATCGTCATCTACATCGCTGACCTTCTTACCCTGCACATTGAGCTTGACGGGTCCACGCTGGGAGGGGGCGGGGCGATGGACGAGCTCGAGCACGACAATGTCGATGCAGATCTGTGCCATCTGCGCCGCGTATCCCTTGCTGGCCATGCTCAGCGGCGCGGCCTCAACGACGGTGCCGAGGATCGAGATGAACGACGAGCGCAGGACGTTGGGCAGGGCTCGATCGCGCAGTTTGGCTAGTAGAGGTGGTACGACGGCATCCACATGCGCGGGGAGAGCGTCGGCGCATCGCTGAACCACCTGCAGCAGCGCCTCGCCGACGCGCAGGCGCTTCTCCACCTCGCGTGCAGGCAGACGCTGCGAGGCCAACCCATCGTCGCGCCCGATGTAGATGCCCACCAGCCGCGCGATCGTCTGCCCGCCCCCGCTCGATGCAAGCGCCGACAGCCCCTGCACCGCATTGAGGTAGAGGTACGACTCTTCGTCCTGCACGGCGTGCAAGAAGATGTCGAGGATCGCCGGCACCAGCGCCGGGTCGAAGCGCGCCACAGCTTGTCCACCCTGCTTGGCGTCGTCCGACACGAGACGCCGCAGCAGCACCAGACCGTGTGCGCGAACGGGCAGGATGGGATCCTGCAAAAGCCGAAGTGCCTCTTGGTAGGTCTCCTGCGCCTGCACGTATTCGAGCGCTTTCGCCGAGGTCTCGCTCGTCGGCTGGGCTTGCGATGACCCTTGGGAGGGTCCACTGCCACGCACAGAGTTGCGTCTCGCGAGGAGAACCAGCTTGGCCTCCTTGGAAAGCGCACGCACCTCGGGCGAGCCACTGTCGAGCAGCGTATCGATCTTGTCGAGGATCACGACGAGCATCGGCTGCGTCTCGGTCGACACCGCCGTGTTGGCTTCCAGCAGCGACAGTAGCAGGCTGAGCGCGGTGGTCACGAGCTCCTCCTCGTCCTCGTCCGCCTCGTCTTCGTCTCCGTCTTCGGTCGTCTGCGTCTTCCCTTCTTGCGCTGCGGTCGACTCTCGAACTGCCGAAGTTTCGGCCGCCACATTGAACAGCGACGAGACGCCAGACTGTGCTTGCTGCGTCTTTGCCGAGATGAACGGCATCGACTCTTCCACGGCGGTCTGGGGTTCCACTAGGTTGGCCGATCCTGCGGTGGACTGGCCTGGCATCGAGCGCTGGCTGGGACTGGACAGGGCGAAATCGATAAACGCCAGCGTGGCCTGGGTGTCGCCCTGGAGCAGATCAGCGCCAAACGCATCGAAGAGCTGCAGGATGATTTGCAGGTAGAGCACCGAGCGCGTCTCGGAGTGCGGTCCCGCCGCCGTAGCAATGCGTGCTCGCGCCGCCGCCTTTTGCGCCATGTAGATATTCAAGATCGACGGCAGCGTCAACCTCGCCAGGTCTTTGCGCTCTGCGGTTTTGAGCAGGCGCGCCACCAAGCACGGATCCAGATGCAGACCGAGCTTGGTCGCGAGGTCCGGGGCGATCTTGGACAAGTCGACCTCGTCATTGCTGCCGGCGCTGATCTGCTTGGCCAGCGCCGCCAGGCTGAGGTCCTTCCACAGCGCGGACAAGTCCTGCTCGCCCGATTCGGGCGCTCGTCCGTATCGGATTGCGATACCATCGTTCTCCTCACTCCAAAAAAGCGATGCGTCTTCGCTGCTGCGACCCTCGAGGGCGTCTGGCGACTGGCTGCCGATGCCGACCTCGGCGGCTTGAATGGCACGCACCAGCGCATCTGCTCCGTGCTGTGCGTCCACCAGCCGCAGCCAGGTCTTCAAAAAGTTACCAACTTCCACCTGAAGACTGTCTCTGTGCCCGCCGGACTCGACAGAACGCACCTTGGCCTTACCCGTCCCGCTCGTTGGCGTGCACAGCAAGTGGTAGAGGGTCAGAAGCTGCGGGAGGATCGGATCGAAGAGCGCAGTGAAGAACGTCGGCGACGGCTCGGAAAACAGCAAAAAGCTCGAGAGCGTCGCCAGAGCGCGTTCCAACTCGGCTGACGATGTGACGACCACCGACTCGGCCTGAGCGTCTGCAGTGGTGTCAGACATAGATGCTGCAGCGGTGTGCGGAAGCGCCGGGCTGAAGTGTGCATAGACGCGGTCTTGCAGCGCACTCGCAAAGAGCGC